ATTCAATCTCTAGTATCCTCTATCCAAATTAAAGTTAATTTCATTTTACTTCTTTTTTTTTTAAAGAACAAAGATACTTCTATATCAGAGCCAAGAAATTCTGAGTTTATCACTTTTTTTTCTTTTTTTTTGAAAGAGAGGAGAGAGAGAGAGAGAGAGAGAGAGAGAGAGAATTTTCAATATTTATTTTCTAGTTCTCCCCAGACACAACATTCTTGTTGGTATGTGATGCTGAGGATCGAACCCGGGCCGCACGCATGCCAGGTGAGCGTGCTACCGCTTGAGCCACATCCCCAGCCCCTCATTTTACTTCTTAAAATGAAAATATTTAAATTGCATACATCTTCACATTGTATTTCTGTTGGCAGTGTGGCTTTCCAGTGTAATGGAGGACTAACTTCAGGGGCTCAGAGAAGGTGATCACCATGCTTCATTTGATTGCCTAATGCCTAAAGTACTGCAAAATTAGTTCCTATTGGATTTGGTCTCTGCTAATGGATAGTAAGTGTTATCTTTTCCAAGTAATACAACCACATTATAGCAAGTTTTCTGAAGAGCCACTAAGGAATTAGTGGCTTAACCTAAGGAATTAGTCTAGTGAGAATTTCAGCCCAATTGCAAACCGGCAGGCTTCGTATTTTTGGACCAAGTGGCCTTCGAATTACATTGATTAGGTAATAGTGTTTGTCTCTTCATTTACTAATGAGTTGTCCAGCATGGATTATTACACCTGATAAATGTTTTACTATTATTTGCAAACCATGCTCTAGTGTAGCTGGCCATGTTCAAAACTTGGTGGGAGCAATGGAGGTATATTTAGGGCTCTTCATATCAACTATGTATGTTCATGATGCCTTCCAACTTCCCAACCTCTTGACCATAACTACCTAACCTACCAAAAAAAAAAAGAAGTCTAGGTAGCCAAAATATGAGTTGTGTAATGGGCAGAGTAATGGCTCCCCAAAGATGTTCATGTTCTAATCTGCGGAACTTTTGGTTTCATATTACATTACATGGTAAAGGGAGATTAAGGTTGTAGATTGAATTAAGTATGCTAATCAGCTGATACTAATCAGCTGATCTTAAATTAGGGTATTATCCTGGATTATCTGGGGGGCATGTAATCACAAGGGTCTTAAAAGCAGATGACAGAGGCAGAAGGGATTCACAGAAAGAGATGTGATAATGGAAGCAGGGTCAGAGAGATGCTGTGGTCTTCGCTTTGAATCAAGAAGTGTGGTGAGCCTTTAGAAGATAAAAAAGGAATCTAGAAACTCTTCTAGAGCTTCCAGAAAGGACAACAGCTCTGCTGACACCTTGATTTTAGCCCTTTGAGAAGCATGTCAGACTTTTACTATGCTACAGAACAATAAGGTAGTACCTTGGTATTGCTCTAAGCTACCAAGTTTATGATAATTTCTTATAGAAGCAATAGAAAACTAGTACAGATGGGAACTGGATGTGAGGTTTTCATGATCAAAGATAACTCTACCAATGTTTGTAGAACATTGAGATTATGTAGGAATGCTATAAAAATATAAACATTTTTATAGCATTCCTACATAATCTCTCTCAGGGCAGAAAGCATTTACAACATTGTTTGTGTTTTGGTACTGGGGATTGAGCTCATTTAACCACTGAGCCACAGCCCCAGACCTTTTTTGTATTTTATTTAGAGACAGGTCTCATTGAGTTGCTTAGGGCCTTGTTTAGTTGAGATCCCCTTGCTCAGCCTTTGTAAGCTGGGATTATAGGTGTGTACCACCACGCTTGACACAACTGAGTTTTGAATGGTTCATGTTCTCAATTGTTCTAAATTATATAATACCCAATTATGTTTATTCTGGTGAATTTCAACTTAGTTATTTTTTAAAATCCTCAAATATAGAAGGGTATTTTTATTTTAATATCAATTTCAGACTTCAGTTTTCAAAAAATATATATATATATAACCTTAAGTGAAGTTTTATATTTTCAATTTCTGCAAGTCCATTTGCTATCGTATAAAAGTATACCTTTCATGAGAAACAATGCTTCATTGAGCCTTTAGAGATTTTTCCTTCTCTATTGACAAATATCAAATAAAGATATTTGTCCCATTGAGCCTTACAATGCTACTCTTTTGAAGGTCGTATCCTTTCTGCAAACTGTTTCATGGTTCATTCTTGTAGTGTTGCCAACCTGAGGTAGGCAATATGGATCCATTTTTTGAAACTCAAATTTTATAACAGAGGGTTACTGGTGAAACTGGCAAAACTGTTTATCAAGTTGACACAATACCTTTAGCTATTTCAGGAATCACTGCCACATATAAATCAGGAAACCCTGAAATGGCTTAAGGTATGTAAGAATGACATTCCTAAATAATTCATACATTCAATAAAAATATTTACTGTGCACCTTCTATGTGCCAAGGGTTGGGAATAAGGGCTGAGAACAGCTCAAACAACTCAGTCAAAATTTCCTGGCTCTCATTCTGTTGTTCTGAAACTTTCTTGCTCTCTGTTTTTGGAGGTTTGAGAATTGAAAGATAACAATCTTGAAAACAATCAAAGAGCCAGAGAAAAGCTTTTACTTTTCTTTCTTTCTGTCTTTTTTCTTTTTAGATCTAGACACCCTACTATCTCCTTCCAAGAAATACTTATGTTGACGGAACACTGATGTAAACAAGGGAAGTTCCTGAGATAATTTTTAAAAAGGGGGCAGAAAGCACTATTAGAAAACTTAAAGAGGGCTGGGGCTGTGGCTCAGTGGCAAAGCACTTGTCTCACATGTGTGAGGCATTGAGTTAGATCCTTAGCACCACATAAAAATAAACAAATAAAATAAAGGCATTCTGTTCATCTACAACTACAAAAAATAATAAAAAAACCTTAAAGGATGTATGATAGATTGAATCCGATAGTATTTGATCTCAAAACTTCAAATGGTGTAACTGTTAACACAGGTCTTGTAAGAGGATGGAAGAGAATGAAGCAGAATTGTCCAGGGGACTTCATTGAGATAGAAATGAATAGTGTAAGTGCTCTGGCCGGATGGAATTTTGTGACACGTCTTTCCTACCACAATAACATTTATTTATGTATCAGTATTACCTATCTTTTCTTTCAAATGATAAATATCCTGCTGTAATACATTAGTTCACTTTTTGTTTTGTTTGTTCATTGTTGAAACATATTCTCTCTGGAACAGTTCTCGTAACCAAATACTTCACATCAGGGAACACTTGCTCACAGAAGGGATGGTATTAATGGAGGCAAGAGAAAGCAGTCCTTTTTTCACTTGTGGAAGGGTACTGGCTGGGGACAAAAACTTGCCCCACGGTAGTTGATCTGCTGTGATGACGGATCTGGAGGAGAGGCACCTCCAGGAGGTTAACGGGCAAAAAACCCACCTCCTGGAGTGCATCCCTGTGGTCTTCAGATTACTTCTCCCATAAATAAGGACAATTGGAAGGAATGGAATGCTTTGTTACAGGTCGAATTACTGTGCACCCCCTTCTCCTGCCGCTTACGAGACAATCCTCCCATTCGGAAACCGGAGGGATTTAGAAAAAATGTAACACATACGATGTGGAAAAAAACTATGCATTCTGAGCTGAGGAGGTCAGAACTACCAGGAAAGATGCAAAGTAGTGAATAACACCAATTTTTTAAATTTACACAGCACAATGTCAATGACGAACGCCAGTGCTTTAGAGACGGCCAACCTTTATCCAACAAGTTAGAGATAAATAACAATCTAGGTAGTTTTCTGCAGAAGCCAGCCTCGGAAGTAGAGAAGACATCGACCGCTA